TGCTCATGGCACCCGTCCTTAGCATCTATGACCCCACCCTGCCTACGAGAGTGACGACTGACGCTTCCGGCTATGGCATTGGGGCAGTCTTGGAAGAACACGACGGCAATGACTGGCACCCTGTGGAGTATTTCAACCACAAAGTGCCTCCCATCAACTCGCTTGATGATGCAAGGAAGAATGAGCTGCTCGCATTCGTCATGGCTCTCAAGCGATGGCGGCACTTCCTCCTTGGGCGTCATAGGTTCACATGGGTTACGGACAACAATCCATTGACCTACTACAAGACGCAGGATACGGTGAGCAKCACGATCATCTTGTACTTTGTATTGAGAGGTCGGTTCTTGTTCTGGTCTGCACCGTTCCACTATGCAACATTTTGGTATCGGAGCGGACCTCTTATTCAGAGGACTCGCTCAATCAAATAGCCAGCTTGCTTGATCTATGGATTACTCGTTAGTAAATCAAGTAGGACTTCGTCAAATCTCTGAATTTTTTTTTTTCTCGCAACAACTATCTGTAATTTTCGATATTTGCATTTCGTTTTACCTGAAAATTTATGATATTAGTATTTTGTTTTTACGTAACAAATATATGAAAATTTCTGATAAATCGCATTTCGTTTTGTCTGAAAATTCCCGATAGTAGCATTTCGTTTCTCTGATATTTCGCATACATAGCTGAAATTTCTGATGTTAGTATTTCGTTCTCTATGTATATTGGGATTACGATAGAAGTGGTCATATTCTCAGAAACTGGAACTATTCTTTTCTGAAAATCGAATTTCCATTCTATCTCGCAAAATTTTAGTTCTTTTCTGAAAAATCGCATCTCTATTCTATCTCGCAAGTTTTTTTTTCAAGATCGCATTTTGTGCAAGTCGAAACTTTGCGGAACCTAGCCTAGAGCTCGTTCATAGTACTCTTCTGACATGACTCACTCATAACAGATCAACAGATATACCAAAAAAAAAAAAAAAAGGAAGTAGTCCTTTTTTATTTTTTATTTTATTTTATCTGTTGATTAGGGCCAGGAGTAAAGTATTGTTTGGTTGGTTCCCTACCTGCGTTTTCCCTCCCCACCCACCCTTTGCATGCATTTCCGGGTTGGTACAGTGCCACGTCAGCAACAGTGCCACGTCAGCAGTGCCACGTTAGCAACAGTGCCACGTCAGCAGTGCCACATCAGCAGTGATGTCAGCAGTGCCACGTAAGCAACAGTGCCATGTCAGCAGTGCCATGTCAGCAACAGTGCCACGTCGGCAGTGTCACGTCAACAGTACCACGTCAGCAGTAACAGTGCCACATCAGAGTGTCACGTCAGCAGTGCCCCGCCACCATGACGGGCGCAGCTCTGGGCATGCCAGGCCAACTGGCCAACAAGTCTCTTGCCTACTACAAACAGCGGTTCCAAACTCAGCTCGCTCTGATCGAGGCTGAGGAACARCGCCAGATGGCAGCTGAGGCTGCCCGCCTACATGCTGAAGCAGCGGCAACAGCTGAGAAACAACTTCGGAGTCTGCCTGTCGCCAAGCACGCGTACATCGGCGCCCTGTTCATGAACTCAAAGGGCGGATGCGAGATCTGGTTAACCCACGTGGCAGCCACCCACAGCGTCGACGTCGCAAATCTGAGAGACAAGGTCACATGGGAAGAGTTAACACGGCTGTGGAAGAAGCGGTTCATCGTCGACGACGCACCAGCACTCGCCATCAACCGTCTCTTCATCATGACTCAAGGCAACACAGCAACACGTGACTGGCTCACGGAATGGCAGAAGATCGCGGCAACGCCCGATCTTGACTTACCATTTCCGCATCTGCGCCGTGAGTTCTACAACAGGTCATGCGCTGCATTAAGCGAGGCACTTGGTGATCGCGAGCAGTATGCAACTTTCAGCGAGATTATTGACAAGGCGAGAGAGATCATCAAGACCAATARGGCAGCKGCACACGAGAGGTCAACATGGCAGCCGACCTATGTGGAGAAGGTGAAAACTGGTCCGCAACAGCAGCAGGTCGCTGCAGTCCAATCGGACAACACTGTGGAAGACCCGGCAGCCACCCAAGCGTCACGTGAGGGAGATCAGGTGGCTGCTGTCCAGCCGCGAAGCAACATCAAGTTCTAAGGAAACGGGAAGGCGAAATCAGCATCGCCGGCCGGAAATGGATAGCCTGCACCACCATGGGTCAAGTTCGGCTTGACCGAGGCCGAGTACAAGT